TAGTTTACTGATTACAAAAACGTAGTTTACTGATTACAAAAACGTAATTTACTGATTACAAAAAACGTAGTTTACTGATTACAAAAAACGTAGTTTACTGATTTGAAAAAAATAGTTTACTGACTTTAAAAAAACGTAGTTTACTGATTAAAAAAATACGTAGTTTACAGATTTTTTTATTATTATTATTTTATTAAACCGTAGTCTACTCATCACTGAGACTCTGAAGAAAGACTCTTCACGTTTGTCTTTCAGGGTCCAGAGGAGGCTTCTGTGAGCTGAGACAGGGCAACCGGAGGATGCTCCACTTCTACTCTGAACTCGGCTCCTTCAAACCCGTTCAAATAGACGGTCTACCTCAAGATGTGATCGTCATGGCAACAAGCTTGTAAACAAATGTTCCCCAGATTGAAAATGTTCTTTTAAAACCTGAGGAAATAATCGCTCCTCTTTGATTCCTGTTAAACCAGTTCAAGCTTCTGTTTTTGACAGATTGTTTCAGGTTTTGTGTGAATCTTGTCCAATCTGCTGAACATTAAGAGCATCAAATATTTTGTGTTTGTGTCAAATAAGTTGTGATTATTGTTTAATAGAAGTGTTGATGCTTTACAGAATAAAGTGTTTATCATACTCGCACTCATTAACACTGCTTAATTATAAGGCAAGATTAGTTTGTCCAAATGAGCAATAGTAAAAATAGTTAAATTKTTAATAGGGATGCACCTGTATGAAAATATCAGCTGATATTGGTTGATATCTGATAGAATTATTGCCGTAATGGTCGATAACTGATATTTACTGATATTACAGAGACACAAAATATTTAAACACAAATACACACAAACACACTTCTGTGTTTTTAATTAAAGTAAATAAATGACCGGAGCACTGACATGGCTCCCTACTTCAGATATTCCTGGCTGTGCAGCATCAATWACACCATCATGACGTTAATATTGGCCCAGTTTTATTTATCGGAACCATACCGATGTTAATGCTGATATATCATACATCCCTAATTATTAATTTTACTTCTTTTTTGCTTTAGAAGCGTTAATATTTGACTTTATCTGGGCTTTTATCTCAGAATATTTTCCACATGAATGAAACATAAACAAAAGGTGCCACAGCTCAGACTTGTAGCACAATACCCTTCATTTGTCACATTAACTCTGTTTTATTGTTGTGGCTGTTTGCTGCACCTATAAAATAAAAGTAATGAAGTTCAGTGTGTCTAAAACACAAACACATCAAAGATTTCAAGTTCAAGAGAATTTATTTTGCGTTACCCTGAGTGTCTGACAGCCACACGTTAACAAACGTTTCTACAGAAACTCATTTGAAATAAGACACAGAACTGAAAAAGCAGGTAAACATCAAATGTTTAAAAATGTTTATTTTAAAGAAATGCTCATTTAAAATTGAATGTCAGCAAAATGTCTTAAATAAATAGAAACAAAGGTTTCAGGAGACGTGTCTTAAATGTCACACAGTGTGGTCCATTACAAGTTCTGTGACATTCAAACGAGTAAAAACACTTTCAAAAAAGATGGACGTCCAAATTTCCAAAAGGCTCTAAGCACAAATCTTTAAATCACAAAAAACAGAGATTTTATCATTTTTGGTGCAAAATATTAAAAAATTAACAAAACAAACATCTTCCTCTTCAGGTCAGGTGATTCTGCATCAAGTCACAGCAAGAACTCTGAAACCTGTTTATTGTTGGAAAACTGATCCATAAAAGCAGGATACATTTATTTGTTAAAAGCAGTGAGATCCTGTAACACTCCTGACTTCTGGGTTTTAGTATTCTTTTCTAAACAAATTCTATTGGAGTAAATTTTGTAAATGATTAATTGAATATTAGATGCAGTTTTGTATTTTATACTTTCTGATCATTTCAGCCTTAAAGTTAAAGCAGACGAAGAGTTGGTGTGTGTCTTATGTGTTCTTTCTTTAGTCTAAACTTAAATGAGTGACGTTCTGACGTAAACAGTAACACCTACATGGATGTAACCAGGAGGAGATGAACATTATAAGCTCAATTCATTATGTTGCAGAGTCTCTGCTTCAGAGCAGATCAGCTGTGTTTTGGTTCAGCACAAGGACTTACTGAGGCCTGTGTGCTGTGAACCTGATTGGAGTCAGAAAACTGAAAATAAAGTTTTAAAGAAGAAATCCAGCGGATTCCTGTTTATTCGGACATACCATTTGAACAACGCACAATTTTCCTACACTATTTTAAAATAAATTTTTACACCTACGTATTTGTTTCCTGAGTTTTGGTCATTTTAACTAAACCAGACTTTTCCACGCAGCACTGATATGATGCAGTTAAAGGGATCCCCGATTAGTTGTAACATTAGAATTTATATGATAAACATATAATTTAACTGTAAAATAAAAACTAAAAATGCTGTAGGCTGTTTAGTTTTTATAATTTTTAAACTAAACGTTTAAAAATATACTACACGGATGGGGCCATTTTATTTACACACAAAGCATTCTGGGTAAATGATGACATCAACTAGGTCCTCGGTGCGAGGCTGCTAGCGAGCTATATCCACCCTGAAGGTTAATCTTGGAAAATATCTGATGATCGACTCTTTTAAATGAAACCAGAGAGCGTTGACAGAGAGGAGAAGGTAGAAATGACTCAGCCTGTAACTGAAAATATGGATGGAGGACAACAGAGCTGCTTCATGGAAGAAGAAGCCGAGCTAATACATATAAGGCAATATAGAGCAAGGGCTAACGCTAAAGCTAACAGGCTAAGCTGAGGTTCTTCTTCCATGAAGCAGCTCTGTTGTCCTCCATCCATATTTTCAGTTCCAGGCTGAGTCATTTCTACCTTCTCCTCTCTGTCAACGCTCTCTGGTTTCATTTAAAAGAGTCGATCATCAGATATTGTCCAAGATTAAACTTCAGGGTGGATATAGCTCGCTAGCAGCCTCGCACCGAGGACCTATCCACGTCATCATTTACCCAGAATGCTTTGTGTGTAAATAAAATGGCTCCGTCCGTGTTAAAATATATTTAAAAAAATTTACAAAACTAAACAGCCTACAGTATTATTATAGTCTTTATTTTACAGTTAAAATAAATGTTTATCAAATAAAGTTTAATGTTACAACTAATCGTGGATCCCTTTAAGTCTTTAAATGGTTAAAAATGTGTTTTGTGTTGACGAAGAATATCTGCTGTGCATCGTTAGCGGCTGTTTTTCAGCTATTTCAGTGTCACTTTCAGTCATGTCTTACAGTAAAACTGACAGGGAATGGAACCTTACATATTTTCATTATCATTTGAATTAAAAAACTTAGCTCCGCCTCTTTCAGATGAACTCCAGCCCTTCGTACTTTACGTCTCCTATCTTCGTCTCAGGCATCAGCAGCCGGCCGTCCAAAGTAAAAGCAAGGATGTACGTGGCAATCCTGCTGGCGTCCTCCTCTGACTTTAGAGCTAAGATGATCTGATCGTCCGTGTCTGGGACAAATTTGAAGGAGGAGAAGCCGTGGGTGGGGTTTAAAGGCCCGGCGTGCCCCGTGGTTATGTGGCTGAAGTCTGCGGGGCAGGACAGCAGGAGGTTGGTGGCACGCCGCTCGTCTGCCGTTTCTTCGTAGTGCTCGTGACTGGCACGGCGAGGCAGGAAGAACCAACGCTGAAGACGCTCGCTCCAAGCTGCTGACTCGTGGATGAGGTAGCCTGTGGGACGAGCAACACAGATGTGGGATGATCCTCTTTCCTCCTCTTTGATACAAAGTTATTCTGAAAAACTGACTCAAAATCCTGTTTGTCAGGAGCCAGACATTTTGTGTAGAGCAGGGTTGTCCAATCCTGGTCCACAAGGGCCACTATCCTCATCTTTTACCTGTATTCACAGATTGAACTGTACTGGAGCAGAAAAATCTTTAAAACATGCAGGTGGCCCTCGAGGACCAGGATTAGACCACCATGGTCAGATCTTTAAAGGAAAAATGTCTCAAATTTTCAGTAAATATGTTAAAGGTGATGTTATAAATCTTGTGTCAGCAGGAACTGAATTTGAATTGCTCAGATTGAATCTGAATGTGCAGAATTTGAAATTGAATGCATTGGTTTGAAAATAAATTTTACTAAATTGAAACTGAATTTAAAGTTTTGTATCTGAATTAATTTGCTTTGAAACTGTATTATTAGTCTATATGTATTATGTATTAGTCTATTAAAAATTCAGTTTGACTACTTTCACTTTCAGTTCCATAATTCAGATTTTTGTGTCACATCCTGGTCCTTGAGAAAGCCAGGCAGAGTAATCAAACACAGATCCACAGATTTATGTTTCACTTTGGTGAAGTTTCCCTTCTGTAATCAGTGGCGGATCTAGGATTTTTCTCAGTAAGGGGCCATCAAGGGGCCACAATATTCATAGAGCTGCCAAGTCTTTGTTCAACATCCTTTCACACAAATTCCCAGTGTATACATTTTACACTTCAAACACTTGTAATGTATTTTTTTTTAAAAAAGGTACCACTTTACACTAAGGCCCCCCTTATAGATGGCTTTTAAAGAGTTTATAGATAGGTTATTAATTAATCTGTAAACACTTTATAAA